TTAAACAAATCTCTAAGCATAATAAATAGCAATACTAATGCCTGCCTGAGCAAACAACACTACTTAATGAAAATTAATTTTACATTTTGGAGTCTCATCAATCTCTCTGTACCTCTCTTTAATTAAAAACAACAACAAAAGACTTGACAGTATTTATTATTTATTGAACTGTTGGGCTTATTTATTTGCTGCCTCGCACGCTCTTGTGTTCTCTGCAGAAAATGCTAATGTAGTCTCTTTTGTGTTTGCATGCACCGTTCCATTCTTCCCTCTAATTGTTGGACTATTTGACTCTGCCCGTTTTATTTAATAACCTGTTGTAATGCGCCGGCTTTGATCAACCTCTCTCTCTCTCTCTCTCTCTCTCTCTCTCTCTCTCTCTCTCTCTCTCTCTCTCTCTCTCTCTCTCTCTCTCTCTCTCTCTCCCTCTAATGAATACGCTCTCACACTGGGGTCCCTGCGGCCGTTTTGCCCTGATGACACTCCATCACATTGACTCCGCATGTTGCATCATCCCCGCAGCCAGAGCCATCCAATCACAAGACACTGTTCTTTCACCCTTCTTCACGTTTAATAACATTCGCCTTACAATTTGATCTCATTTCACTCTCAAATATGTGATGCATCTTTTGTGGATTGTGGTCCTTTGTGGTATGCGTGTGCATAGCTCAGTGCATGTGCAGCATGCTGAGGTGAACACACCGCTCCAGCGAACAGTAAATGAAGAGTATTCCCTAATGACCTGCGTCAGAGAACTAATGCAGCCTCCTATTATGAGGGAGAGAGAGAATAGGAAAACAAAAAGCAAGAAAATGCTGAGAATTTGGCATTTTAAAGGTCATCACACTACAGTTTAAAGGGTCACGAAACACCAAAACACATTTTTTGAGCTGTTGACAGTCGTATATGTGTCCCACACTGCTAAAAACACTATTAGGACACCTGTATTTCACTAAAAAGTGTAAATTGGTTGTTTTTGCGTTATTTCAAGCAAATTCGTACTTCCGGTTTGAAACTAATTTTTGATTCGTCACGGTCATGACATAATAACGTGTATTCCAGCGTGCAGACTGGACGTCTTTGCCAAAGTGTGTCTTATTACGTCTTACAGTGTGATGCATTAATGCATGAGTAAGGCTTGGTTCAAACCAATCAGCGCGCTCTATTGTGCAACTTCATTAATATTCATTACTGTCACAGTGTTTAGACGACAGATACGCCACGTTGTGTTGGCAAAACAAGCGTGAAGTGTTGCTTTTATAGTTTGCTGCAGTGAAGTTTTTCATTTTCTCTCTGTGAGAGCGCAGCTGGAGTCACGTGTGGATTACAGTGTACGCGACGCTTGACAACAATAACTTACGTGTCTAAGGAGGATTATTGTTTACCTGAGAGCTGTTCTCATCTGCAAACGCTGAGATCCGGATTCGCTTGTAGTATTCTCTTAATAAAGACGCAGCTCTAGTTGCTGGTGATTGTCCTGTCTCTACAGATTTGGTAAGTGAGCGACCAGTGCTCTTTGTTTATTCAGTTTGTTCGTATCGAACTAAGTTAACTATTGCACCGAGTGTAAACATGTTAGCACCACAACCAAACTTTAACCTCGTGTAGGGTTTTTACCGCATTTTGTGACCGGAATAACACACGCGGCTTTCTGACACTACCTGCCGTGTGCATCTAAGTTTGCGGGACATGCAGAGTTTTTTTTTCTCTCATTCGCCGTGCGGTATCAAACATTGCATGAAAAATACACGCTTAGAGCAGTTCCTCGAATCAAATATCTCGTTTGTCGCGAGGGGCATGAATGAATTTCCTGAATGAAAGAGCCAAACTGCAGTTAAAGTCCACCATTTAATAATTTGGCAAATAATTCAACGACAGATGTCCATGTAGGTTAAACACCATCACTTTCTCCCGTGTGTGTGTGTGTTTTTGACTCTGAAACTCACGCGTGCCCAAATAGACACTCCCACACCATCCCACTTTAGTTCCTCAGACACACCCCCCTAAACAGAGCTGGACACGCCCACTTTTCTGACTTTTTCCAAAGTAGAGGTGTGAAAACACCCTGCTGAAACAAGGGGGTTTCAT